GATACGTGCGTGCCGCACGCAGCTTTAGGTCGTGAGACTCGGCGAATTAAGTTAGAAACCTAATTTAACGCTCACAGCCTTGTTCTGTTTATTATTTCGGTATGCCGGACAGCGCCCACAAGCGGACGCCCGGTAAACTTGCAACGTCGGGCCAACGTCAATATGCGGTTAGAACCGTTGCTTCCAACGTTGAGCCAACGTTGCTCCAATATTGGTGCCAGAATATGAAATAGGCCATGCCCGGACACGCTGAATTCTGGAGTGATTGGACATTACGTACGCGCATTTCCACTGATTGTAAACTGGTGGAGGGGAGTAAATTGTCCGTCATGCCAGTGAAGCCTATTTGAATACATTGACAATGGGAAGTTAATGGGTGGCGTCTAGAGTCATTGTCTTGGGTGTGCGTGGGGCTTTTAATTTAAAGAGACGCGTAGCGCATGCAGAGCCACGCCCCCGTTGACTTGAGGCCACGCCCACACAGGTGCAGAGTTTAAAGGATCATAAACCAGGCGCAGCGCAGCTGAGAGGGGAGCCAAGCGGAGGTGTCGGCCGCTCACGCCGGGCGACGCACGCACGCACGCATACGCACGCACACGCACGCACGCATACGCACGCACGCACACGCACGCATACGCACGCATACACACGCACGCATACACACCACCGCCTCGTTACGCTTCCTCCGCCCCGGTACAGTCTGGGAATTGGCGTCTAGTGTTCGGGTGATGGGAATTGATTCGTGCCGACATTTGGTACCGTGTGTTCAACTTTGTTGCAGAAGACTGGACAGTTTATTTTGTATGTACGGTGAACTTCTTTCGCGCCGTACGTAGCCAACCATGATGATCGGAGGCTCTGCGTAAGCGCCGCACGGTCAACACGAAAATCGGTTGTAGAAACATGTAGGTTTAGTGCTGACATTAATCCATGGGTGTGGGGTTTGGCCTACAGTGGCAGTCCTACAACTTGGGACAGGACTGCCGTGTGATAGCTTCCCCCATCCCCCTCCTCATCAGCAGTGCTGTTTCGTTGACGCCATCGCTGGCCGCTGGCTAACGTCACACGCTGCCTCGCCCCTGGGTGCCGAGGCTGAGCAGACACTGAACACGGGAGCTGGGGCGGTCTTTAAACGTCGTTTTTATTGCGGCCATGTTCACAGCAAAAGCACGAATCACACAAGGCCTCTGGAGCGACTCGGCTCGCCAATTATATAGAGACCCAAACGGACCAATCACGACCCTTTCTCAATCATCTCTTACCCCTCCCCCGCTCCCACCCTACCACCACTGCCCCCTCCCCCCGTTGAATGTCTAATCAGAGCTGCTGCTGCTGCTGCTGCCACCTGGCCGTACGGGTTGACCCGCGTTTGACCCGGACGGTCCGGGAATTGATTTGTCATCCGTGTGAGCGGTTACGGATCGATCCGTACCGAGATGCGCTGCCAGTGCTGTGCTGAACGTTATCGCAGGAGACCGCGATAACGTTTCATTGACGTGGGCCGACTCGTACCCGTGTCCCGGTGTGGTTCTGTGGGAAAGGTGGCGACCCTCGGAGTAAGAGGTTGAATAAATGACTTGAGTGAGTGGTTGAGGTGAGCGGGGGGCTACATGAGTGAGTGTGTGAGCGAGTAGGAATGGGGAGTGGTGGTGTCGTGGTGGCGTGCTGCGCTACCAACCTGGCGCCCACAATTCGATTCCCGCCCACGGCCAAAACCGGTGACGATTAAATATCATCTGAAACGGTCCTGGGCTACCCCTAGGTCGACTCGGCCTCTAATGAGTAACTAGTGCTGTGTGTAAACGTCGGCACTAGGGAGACAAAGGCGGCCGGGCGTGGTGCTGGCCACCCACTCCCTCGTGTGCCGTTCTGGCCTTCGTAGGTGCTCGCTAACAGCACTTGCCCCAATAGTTCGCCTATACGGGGGATCTTTGTCTTTTTTTATAGTCCGCCCGTGAGTGAGTGAGCGACCGAGGGAATGAGTGGGTGGGTGGGTCGGGTGTGTGTAGATCTGGCCACCTTTACCGGGTTTGACGAGGGCAGGAGTCTGTGTGTAGCAGCAGGAGTCTCTGTGAAGCATCAGGAGTCTGTGTGACGCAGCAGGAGTCTGTGTGTAGCATCAGGAGTCTGTGTGAAGCATCAGGAGTCTGTGTGACGCAGCAGGAGTCTGTGTGTAGCATCAGGAGTCTGTGTGAAACAGCAGCAGTCTGTGTGTAGCAGCAGGAGTCTGTGTGAAGCATCAGGAGTCTGTGTGACGCAGCAGGAGTCTGTGTAAAGCAGCAGGAGTCTCTGTGAAGCATCAGGAGTCTGTGTGACGCAGCAGGAGTCTGTGTGAAGAAGCAGGAGTCTGTGTGAAGCATCAGGAGTCTGTGTGACGCAGCAGGAGTCTCTGTGAAGCAGCAGGAGTCTGTGTGAAGCATCAGGAGTCTGTGTGACGCAGCAGGAGTCTGTGTGAAGCATCAGGAGTCTGTGTGTAGCAGCAGGAGTCTGTGTGTAGCAGCAGGAGTCTGTGTGAAACAGCAGCAGTCTGTGTGAAGCATCATGAGTCTGTGTGTAGCAGTAGGAGTCTGTGTGAAGCATCAGGAGTCTGTGTGAAGAAGCAGGAGTCTGTGTGAAGCATCAGGAGTCTGTGTGTAGCAGCAGGAGTCTGTGTGTAGCAGCAAGAGTCTGTGTGTAGCATCAGGAGTCTGTATGACGCAGCAGGAGTCTGTGTGAAGCATCAGGAGTCTGTGTGTAGCATCAGGAGTCTGTGTGTAGCAGCAGGAGTCTGTGTGTAGCATCAGGAGTCTGTGTGAAGCAGCAGGCGTCTGTGTGTAGCAGCAGGAGTCTGTGTGTAGCATCAGGAGTCTGTGTGTAGCATCAGGAGTCTGTGTGAAGCATCAGGAGTCTGTGTGAAGCATCAGGAGTCTGTGTGTAGCATCAGGAGTCTGTGTGTAGCAGCAGGAGTCTGTGTGAAGCATCAGGAGTCTGTGTGTAGCATCAGGAGTCTGTGTGTAGCATCAGGAGTCTGTGTGTAGCATCAGGAGTCTCTGTGAAGCAGCAGGCGTCTGTGTGTAGCATCAGGAGTCTGTGTGTAGCATCAGCAGTATCTGTGAAGCATCAGGAGTCTGTGTGTAGCATCAGGAGTCTGTGTGTAGCATCAGGAGTCTGTGTGAAGCATCAGGAGTCTGTGTGAAGAAGCAGGAGTCTGTGTGAAGCATCAGGAGTCTGTGTGAAGAAGCAGGAGTCTGCGTGAAGCATCTGGCGTCGTGGCGTAACAAAAAGTGTAAACGTTAAATATCTAAAGCGACCCAAAAAAACACGCGACCAAATATAATTTCAACCGCAAACATTCGCCCGGTTCGTGGGCCTGTGATGATTTTGGCGAGCTCCTACAGACACCCTGCCGAGTCTGCTGCTTCCTGCCACCCCATCAACCCCACACACAGCTCGAGATACGAGATTTGACCTCTCGCCGTGACATTTTTTTATGGGGGGGGGGGGGTCCGTGGGCCAAATTAGGCGGTGTGTGACGCTGCTCGGCGGGAGAAGCAGAGGGCTTGCGGTTGGCAGGCCACCCTGGTTAATACTGCGCTGTGTGTGTGTTATAACCGTTCAACTACTACTGAACGCCGTTGGATTCACTCGGTGGATGCTAAATACCCCCCTTGACGCCATTCGAGGAGAGCGTGGTTATTGTGTGCCAGACACGGTCCCAACAGTTTGGCACGTTTGAAAAAGTAACACCGCAGATGTTTAGTATTTACATGGCAATCCTAGAGAGTGGTGTCGGCGAGAGAACGATCGCGAATCGCCACTCGTGGACTCCCGACAGCCCGAGTCGCCAGAGAGCAGGAATCGGTGTGGATCAACGGATGGTCACGTGACTGCTTGGTGCGACGGCTTGTGAGTGAGCGTGAGCCGGCGTTGAAGGCCTCGGGACCCTGTGTAGCGACGGGGAGGTGAAAACACGGAACTGAGAGACCTGGTGCCGAGAAGAACCACGCGTCCACACCGCCACTCCCCCCAGCTAGTCAACCTCACCCCCCCCCCCCCAGCTAGTCAACCTCACCCCCCCCCCCCAGCTAGTCAACCTCACCCCCCCCCCAGCTAGTCAACCTCACCCGCCCCCAGATAGTCAAACTCACCCCCCCCCCCAGCTAGTCAACCTCACCTCCCCCCCAGCTAGTCAACCTCACCCCCCCCAGCTAGTCAAACTTACCCCCCCCCCAGCTAGTCAACCTCACCCCCCCCCCCAGCTAGTCAACCTCACCCCCCCCCAACTAGTCAACCCCCCCCGCCCAGTTAGTCAACCTCACCCCCCCCCCCAGCTAGTCAACTTCACCCCCCCCAGCTAGTCAACCTCACCCCCCCCCCCAGCTAGTCAACCTCACCCCCCCCCAGCTAGTCAACCTCACCCCCCCCAGCTAGTCAACCTCACCCCCCCCCATTTAGTCAACCTCACCCCTCCAGCTAGTCAACCCCCCCCCCCCCAGTTAGTCAACCTCACCCCCCCCCCAGCTAGTCAACCTCACCCCCCCCCCAGCTAGTCAACCTCACCCCCCCCCCCCAGCTAGTCAACCTCACCCCCCCCCAGCTAGTCAACCTCACCCCCCCAGCTAGTCAACCTCACCCCCCCCCAGTTAGTCAACCTCACCCCTCCAGCTAGTCAACCCCCCCCCCAGTTAGTCAACCTCACCCCCCCCCAGCTAGTCAACCTCACCCCCCCCAGCTAGTCAACCCCCCCCCCAGCTAGTCAACCTCACCCCCCCCCAGCTAGTCAACCCCCCCCCAACTAGTCAACCTCACCCCCCCCCCAGCTAGTCAACCCCCCCCCCCCGCCCAGTTAGTCAACCTCACCCCCCCCCAGCTAGTCAGCCTCACCCCCCCAGCTAGTCAACCTCACCCCCCCCCCCCCCAGCTAGTCAACCCCCCCCCCCAGCTAGTCAACCTCACCCACCCCCCCAGCTAGTCAACCCCCCCCCCCGCCCAGTTAGTCAACCTCACCCCCCACTCCCCCCAGCTAGTCAACCTCACACCCCCGCCCAGTTAGTCCACCTCACGAAGTCGCTAAGACGCTGGCTGCACGTTGAGAAGACGTGCAAGGGAGCAAGGCACCATCACGTGGCCGGGAGCGGAGAGAGAGGCGGATGTGGAGGGGGGTGCGGAACGAGCCGTGGCTGAACTGGGATGCAGAGTGACGCCCCGGGCAGGCTCCTTCTTCACCACCGCGTCCTGCCTGCCGTCATCGCCGCCACCACCATCAGCGCCGTCATCGCCGCCACCATCAGCGCGACGCTTCTTCATCTTCTTGCCGAATCGCTGACATTCATCGGCGGTGGCAGCAGCAGCAGCAGCTTGCGCGTCATCACCATCGTCATCACAATCGTCATCATCATCAGTAGCGTCACAATCATCATCATCAGCACCGTCGTCGTCGTCACCACCGCGGTGACCGCGGTAGCGGTAGTCGTGCCGGGGCCCCCTGCGGCCCCTCGCGCCGCCACAGCGCGCCAGCAGCCAGCCCAGGCAGCACGCGGCCGCCACGGCGCCGCCCAGGCAGAAGAGCGCCGCGCCCGCCACGCGGCACGTGTCGAGCACGCGGTTGAAGGCGACGGCGCGGCTGTCCACCACGAAGAAGTCGTCCTTGCCGAACTCCTCGATGCGCGCCGGCACCACGCGCCCGGCCACCAGCAGCGCCGCGCCGGTCATCGTCACCAGCACGCCGGTCAGTAGGCACAGCTGTGTGGCGCGGTGTGTGTGGTGTGTGTGTGTAGTGTGTGTAGTGTGTGTGTAGTGTGTGTAGTATGTGTGTGTTGTGTGTAGTGTGTGTTGTGTGTAGTGTGTGGCGCTGTGTGTTGTGTGTGGCGCGGTGTGGTGTGTGTGGTGTGTGTGTGGTGTGTGTGTTGTGTGTGTGTAGTGTGTGGCGCGGTGTGGTGTGTGTAGTGTGTGTGGTGTGTGTGTGTGTAGAGTGTGTGTGTAGTGTGTGGCGCGGTGTGGGGTGTGTAGTGTGTGTAGTGTGTGTGGTGTGTGTGTGTTGTGTGTGGCGCGGTGTGGTGTGTGTAGTGTGTGTGTAGTGTGTGTGGTGTGTGTGTGTAGAGTGTGTGTTGTGTGTGGCGCGGTGTGGTGTGTGTGTGTGTGGTGTGGTGTGTGTGTGTGGTGTGTGGTGTGTAGTGTGTGTGTAGTGTGTGTGGTGTGTGTGTGTAGAGTGTGTGTTGTGTGTGGCGCGGTGTGGTGTGTGTAGTGTGTGTGTAGTGTGTGTGTGGTGTGTGTGTGTAGAGTGTGTGTTGTGTGTGGCGCGGTGTGGTGTGTGTGTGTGTGTGGTGTGGTGTGTGTGTGTGGTGTGTGGTGTGTAGTGTGTGTGTAGTGTGTGTGTTGTGTGTGTGTAGTGTGTGGCGCGGTGTGGTGTGTGTAGTGTGTGTAGTGTGTGTGTAGTGTGTGTGTAGTGTGTGTGGTGTGTGTGTGTAGAGTGTGTGTGTAGTGTGTGGCGCGGTGTGGTGTGTGTAGTGTGTGTGTAGTGTGTGTGTGGTGTGTGTGTGTAGAGTGTGTGTTGTGTGTGGCGCGGTGTGGTGTGTGTGTGTGTGGTGTGGTGTGTGGTGTGTAGTGTGTGTGTAGTGTGTGTGTTGTGTGTGAGTAGTGTGTGGCGCGGTGTGGTGTGTGTAGTGTGTGTAGTGTGTGTGGTGTGTGTGTGTAGAGTGTGTGTTGTGTGTGGCGCGGTGTGGTGTGTGTGTGTGTGTGGTGTGGTGTGTGTGTGGTGTGTGGTGTGTAGTGTGTGTGTAGTGTGTGTGTTGTGTGTGTGTAGTGTGTGGCGCGGTGTGGTGTGTGTAGTGTGTGTAGCGTGTGTGTAGTGTGTGGCGCGGTGTGGTGTGTGTAGTGTGTGTGTTGTGTGTGGTGTGTGTGTGTAGTGTGTGTGGTGTGGTGTGTGTGTGTGGTGTGTGTGGTGTGGTGTGTGTTGTGTGTGTGGTGTGTGGCGCGGTGTGGCGCGGTGCGAGGAGGTGCGGTGGAAGCGGTTGGGGTAGGGAGGAGAGGAGAGATCTGGTTAGGTCATCATCTCTCTTGTGGTGTCACCATCGTCAGCAGGGTCGCCACCTGGCCGGGTGTCACCCACTCCACCCGTGCCCTCGCACCTTCCACAGCGTGACGTGCCAGCCGGCGGCCCGACTCCCCGAGGAGCCCTTGCCCGCGTGGCTGCTCCTCCTGCCGCCGCCGCCGTGGGCCGCTCCGTCCCAGGCGGTGGCGCCGCGTCCGCCCGTGCAGTCGTCGTAGAACTGGTGCAGGTAGGAGCGCACCCCGTAGCGCGGGGGCGGGTGCCCAGGGGCGTCCCCTCGGCCAGGGGTCCTCGAGTCCATCGCCTCCTCCTCCTGCTCCTGCTCCCTCCCCGGGTCCTCTCGGCGTGATCTCGGCGTGATCCCCTCGGCGTGATCTCCGTTGCAGACCCCCCTCCCACCCCTTTCTCCCACCCCGGCTTCTCCCCCCCCCCCCCCTCCAAGGGCTGCGTCTGTGGTGGCGTGGTCACGTGAAAAACATCGTCAAATCGCGATGAAACGTGCGCTTAAATATTTACTGTGCTGGCCAAGTAAGTTCGAGGGTACACCAAATGGTTGATTTTAAAGTTGTAAACTATAAATTAAATTGAGCCATTAGCCAAACGTTATTGGGAACGGCTTTTGAAGGCATTAGGATTATGCGACGATTGTTCTGTAACGGAGAATGGCGCGTGAGTTAGGAATCACTGAAACTCCTCCTCTGTAGCCGTGGCACGCGGCGTGGCGAGGGGAGGACACGGGAGAGGGGAGAGCACCTGGGACGGAAGTCGCCACCAAGGCGGACAGAGAGGAGGAGGAAGGGGGCACGGCTCAAGATGAGCAGCGGGGAGCGAGGAGGAGGGAGGAGAATGGAGGGAGGAGGAGCGGTGGTGCAGGGAAGGGATGAGGAAGGACTGGGCCAAGATGTCGGGGATGAAGAGAGGGTGGTGGTGGTGGTGATGATGATGAGGAAGGAGGGGAGAGAGGGTGGTGGTGGTGGTGATGATGAGGAAGGGGGGGAGAGAGGGTGGTGGTGGTGGTGGTGGTGATGATGAGGAAGAAGGGGAGAGAGGGTGGTGGTGGTGGTGATGATGAGGAAGGAGGGGAGAGAGGGTGGTGGTGGTGGTGGTGATGATGATGAGGAAGGGGGGGAGCGAGTGTGGTGGTGATGATGATGAAGAAGGGGGGAGAGAGGGAGAGGATAAAATGAAGGAGCAGGGAGCTGTACGGAGGAAGAGTATCGGCGTCTGTTTTCACAGTGGGCGGGGAGAGGGGAGGGGTTCAGAGTGGGAGTGGCCACACCGGAGTCACGTGGTTTACGGGAGGCTTGAGCTGACCTCGAGACAGAGAGATGATCGATTGTTTTAGCTCCTTCACATGTCTAAGAGAGCGGGGTCCCTGTCACGGCTTACATCAGTGGCGAGTAACACCGGAGCCTGGTTCGTGCGTCCTGCTCGAGGTCGCCGTCATTAGTTGAGTACCCTGGTGGCATAGCGCACACGCTGTAAAGCCATCGGTGTTGGGGAGACAAAGACGTCCGGGACTGGTTCTGGGGCTACACCGGCCTTAGTAGGTATCAGTAATGCGCTAATATATCTGTTATGAAAAGGGCCATTGCCGGAAACGTCATCTATGATATTTTGTTTGCTTTTAAGGCTATACGCACAAGAAGTGTTGTTGTTGAGAAATATTTTCAGTTGTTTATCTTTCTCCACCACAGTTAACGCAGCAGCAGCATCCCCAAAATAATTTGTTTAAAATAGGAGCTCGCAAACAACACTTGCCCCGACAGTCTGCGTGGGTTAGACGGGGCGAGGGGAAGGGAGTGTACACAGACAACAGGGACATATCGGTTCGATGCCGGGCCTAGGCGAGGTCAGACGATATAGCACTGAACCTATCTTGTGATGGTTAGCACACTGTGCTATGAACCAGGCAACCCAAGTTCGATTCCCGCTCACGGCCAACAACAGTGGCAGCGAATATTTGAACCGGTCCTGGGCCTCCCCTTGGGTCGACTCAGCCTAAAATGAGTACCTGGAGCGGGGTGTGTAAACATCAACATGGGGGAGACAAAGGCGGTCGGGCGTTGTGCTAGCCACACCTCCCCCTCGTGTGCCGTGCCGGGGGATCCGCTAACAGCATTTGCCGCAACAGTCTGTTACAGCTTGACTTAAAGCTTTCGTGACTGCAGGAATTCATATTCTTTGGGTCTTTCGGTAAAGTAACGTGGATAGGTTCAAAGAAAATAAGAAAAAACTACGACGTTTCGATGTTAAAGACCCGAAGAATATGAAGTCTGTTACAGGCTACGCGGGTGACCTTTGTCTTTACGCAGCAAGGGGCGCTGTCTAGCGCTCCGTGGTGCTGAAACCCTCGCGGATTTTTGGAATTATCGCGGATTTCTTACCGGGATTTCACTCGTAGAAAAACAAACCCTGTGTATGTGTTTGTACTTAATCTGAGCCGCCGCCGTCGCTGGCTATAGTGGCGATTTGATCGCCGTCCCCACAGCCCCCAAGACATACTAACAAGCAGGCCGCGAGCGCTGTGTTTAACCCTGGGGTGTTTACACAGTGAGTCGGCTCTGTTGCGACACACGCGCCTGCCGTTTGACAATGCTGCTGCTGTTACCGCTGCTGCTGTCTCGCCGCTATTACACCCGCTGATGTGTTTTGTTACCAAGACTGCTGTTTGCTGCTACTGTTGCTGTCCCCACTACTGCTAGGCTGATGTTATTGCTGCTGCTGCTGCTGTGATCGTTAACGTGGTTGCGATTGTGCAGTCTACACCCACCTGCCGATTAGCGCGTGTCCGCTGCTCCGATAACGGATGAATGAAGGGCTGGTTGTGATAAAGGTGCGATGGTGGTGATCACTGATAGTGTGTGGTGGTAACAGCGAGGTGGGAGTGATGATGGTGTCGTGGTGGTGGCTAGCTAGCACTGTGTGATGGTGGCTGGTGATGGTGCGGTGATGGTGATTAGCTAGCACTGTGTGATGGTGATGGTGGCTGCTGATGGTGCGGTGATGGTGATTAGCTAGCACTGTGTGATTGTGATGGTGGCTGCTGATGGTGCGGTGATGGTGATTAGCTAGCACTGTGTGATGGTGATGGTGGCTGCTGATGGTGCGGCGGTGGTGGCGGGCTCTATGATGGATAGGAGTGTCGCACACTGCCTGCCCTTGTGCAGCTTCGCGCATGCGTGCGATGGATACCGTTGGGTGGCGAGGGGCGGGAGAAGGAGGTGGGGTGAGGAAGGCGCTGTGCGGTGTTTGTCAGTCTCCGCGTATTAAACATCATCTGGCGATGCTGCCGCCGCCGCTGCTGCTGCTGCATAGGCAGTGGTGCACAAGCACAACAAATAAGAAGCACTCGGGCACATTCGACAATAATAACAACACCATCACTGTGTGGCCTTAAAATATATATATACAATATATTTACGTAATTTTGTATTCCTATTAAGGCAGTGTTATTGATGCACGCGTTGAAGTGTTTGTGTGTCCGTGTGTGGGGAGTGGTGGCCAGACCCTAGTTCGGATTTCTTTCGCGGCCAACACCAATGACGATTATCTGAACCGGTCCTGGCCTCCGCATAGGTCGACTCGCCCTCAAATGAGTACCTGGCGTGGTGGTGCGTAAACGTGAGCACTGGGGAGGCACAGCTGGTGACCTGGCGTGGTTTTGTCCACCCCATCCTCTGGTGTGCCGTGCCGCCTCTCATAAGTGCTTATCGCAAACAGCACTTGCCCCAACAGTCTATACGTGGGACCTTTGTCTTTGTGTGTGCGTGTGTGTGGCACAGGCCGACCCTTGCTAATGAGGGATCGTCTATGCAAGAGCAGCAGCAGCGGCTGCCCTCCGTGACCCACGCCGTCAAATATTCATCGCGGTCACCCACGCTGCTCATCGTCACGTCTCTCCATCGCCGCACTCGTTCACAATGTGTCGCCATCATCGTCATCATCCGTTCACATCTTTCGTAATCATCACCATCGTCGTCACCCACTTGGAATGATCAATTCATCATGATCCACATTCACGTATCGTCATCCATTATCATCAACACCATCATCTCCCATTTGATGCGATGAAGGCCCATCGCCTGAAACGTTGCCTATTATGTATATACTGCAGTAGAATTGTTTTTCCTTATCACGGTCCTGGTCCTTAGTCTCGAGGATGGAGGCGAGTGCGGCGTGGTGCGGGACACGTTCCCGTTACGTTGCATGCAGCCTTTCGTTCCCTGCTGGTTACTCACTGTGCTGATGAGTCCCAGGTAATGATGAAACCGGTCAAGCGGTTGCCCCTCACTGCAGCACTTCTGCTGCTATCAGTCAGCCAAATTTAATCAAATTAATGTTTAAGTCAGAGAACAAGAGGCGATCACAGTGCCGTCTCTGGGAGCCGATGATGTTTTTTGCACGACGCACAGAGGCTATGTGCTCTGTGTTGTCTCAAACTTAGAACAATCGCGTGTTGTCTGTTCGTTACGAAGGTCCAACGCACACTGACGGATACCTGATGAGATGTGTCAATAATAACACGTGTTCTGTGCGTGAACACGTGTGAAGGAGGCGAATTGTCTGCTGATTAATGTTGTCGCTTAGAGAGAGAGAGAGAGGGGGGGGGCCCTTGCCCATACACATCAGGCAGTTCCACCAGCATTGGTTCAACCAGAGCCTGCTTCTGAGCGACACGAGCACCAATACAGGCAGCGTAGCGGTGTAGCCGTGTGGGGTGGTGGCGAAGCACGTGTCCTGTTATGGAGCACGAGGGTTGGTGGATCACCACACAGACGGCGTGGAACTCCCTTCCCGTGGGTGGGCGTCCAGGAGGAGCCGTTACAGTGGCTCGCCAGGAGACGGCGATAGAGCTCAACGTGGCCTCCACCTGTACGCATGGATGTTGAACTTCTTTCACCTGTATGTTAAACTTCTTTCGCACCGTGCGTAGCCAACCGCGCTAATCGGAGGTGCCTTCCCGCTCCTCGTCTGTGGTTCCTCCTTCTGGCGCCTATGAGTCACTCCTCACTCTCTCTACGAGAGCGATGCATGGACACTGTTGCGGTGGCAGTGCAGACGCAGCGGTACGAGTTGACACATTGTATGAATAACAACAGCAGAATAACAACACGAATTGGGCAGACGGCCGCTTCCTCTCCGTAGCTGCCTCCGCACGTGGACACGAGACGGGCTCCAACACCGACCTCACAGCAGCAGCTGCTGCTTATGTAGTAGCTGCTGCTTATGTAGTAGCTGCTACTCAGCTGCTGCTGTAGTAGCTGCTGCTGTAGTAGCTGCTGCTGCTGTTGTAGCAGCTGCTGCTGTTGTAGCAGCTGCTGTAGCTGCTGCTGCTGTAGCTGTAAACAGACGCGAGTCTCCGCCTCGGTGTCTGTTGGGGAGGGTGGGGGGGGGGTCTGAGCAAAGTCGTGACACGAGAGAGGTGCCCCACCCCTCCGCCGCCAGTGTCCCCCCCCCCCACACACGGTCCTCACCCCCCAGGACCCCCCCCCCACCCGGTACCCCCCCCCCACACACGGTCCTCACCCCCCAGGACCCCCCCACCCGGTACCCCCCCACCCCCACGGTCCCCACCCCCCAGGACCCCCCCACCCGGTACCCCCCCCCCCCACACACGGTCCTCACCCCCCAGGACCCCCCCCCACCCGGTACCCCCCCCACCCCCACGGTCCCCACCCCCCAGGACCCCCCCACCCGGTACCGCCCCCCCCGCCGACGTTTCGAGGCATGGTCCTTCTGCTATCAAGAGAGGCCATCATCGCCCGACACGTCGCCTATGTTATGTCGGGGTTTTCCTGTAGGGTTACAAAGACAAAGATGTCGCGTATAGCCTTAGCAGACTGTTGGGGCAAGTGCTGTGAGCGAGTAACACCGATTAAAGCCGGCACGGCACGCGAGGGGGTGGGTGGCCAACACCACGCCCGGCCGCCTTTGTCTCCCCAGCGGCCATGTTAGCACATCGCACCAGGTACTCATTTGAGGATGAGTCGATCTAGAGAAGGCCCAGGACCGATTCAGAGAATCACACACACAGGGTTGTTGTTGTTGTAGACGAATGTGCCAAGTGCTCTTTGTCCTTGAGGCGCCACCGCCTCCAACGCAGCGGCAGCGGTCGTCCGCGAGGGCCAGGCGGGAGGGCGGCTCGGGTCCCGCGTGACTCCTACGCCGCTGGGCTGGGGACAAGAGGTGGAATGGGGGGGGGGGGAGATGGGGGGGCCACTTGGTGGCTTCAGATGTTGAGCGCAAAGATTCGGTAGGACGTGCGGAGGAGCCGTGGCGCATCAGTTAGCGCACCGCGTTTCTGCGGCCGTCTGGAACGCTCTTGCTCTCGACATTCGGAAGCCACTGAAGCTAAGCACTTTAAAATTCATGTTGAAATTATTCTTTTTACAACTGATTTTGTGTTTGGTTTGTTGTCCTTCCCCCACACCTCGGATTAGTGCGGCTATCTGCGTACGGTGCGATAGAAGTTCAACATGCAAACAACCTGCGTTCGATTCCCGACCACGTGTCGAGCACATCGCCAGTGACCGGTGTGGTGAAGTATGGTCCAGGCCTTTGTCTCTGTGACCAGATTTGTAGAACTTTATTGACACCCGGCCACAGGTTCGGGATGCCTCTCGCTCTACAGAGGGCGCTACAATCCCGAAAGTGCGGTAATTGTAATTTTAACAAGTTTATCCAAATATGTCTTGACTTGTTGAAGGGTTTCCTATAATCTGGATGCCGTGCTCAATGATCATTGAGTGAAATATACGTGTGACAATCCTAGTGGCGTTTATCGGCTTTATACAAATGTTTCCAGTTTTTTCCTGGCCCCACAATGGACAAGGATCAGTCGGTGTCTCTTCTGCCCTCTATTCTGCTCTGAAGAAGGGTCGTTGTCCGAAACGTCGGATTCTTGTATAATGTATAAGAAACTGTCAATGACGAATGTAATAAGGTTTTAGTTCTCTGATTAAAATTATACGCTTACAGCGAGAGTTTGGGACGCCTTATGGAAGGACTTTATCCAGCAGTGGATTGATCATGGCTGACAATGATGACGAAGCGAGATGGCGATCACATCATCGTCATCATCTCAAGGTGGTGGTGGTGGTGGCGAGGCTGCACGTGGCTGCCTGCAACCCAGCGCTGTGGAGGCAGCAGCAGCAGCGAGGGTTGGTGGATCACCACACAGATGTTGCTGTGGAACTCCCTTCCTAGGAGAAGTCGGTAGAGCAAAGTGCGGACTCATCTCCATCTGTTCCACCTGTACGGGGATAGAGTGTTGCCCCTTCTCGCTTGCACGCGTGAGGTTTCCCCGGGTGCTCCGATTTCCTCCAACATGTAACATCTAATTAATTGGTCAATAACAACCATCATATATAGAGGACCGCAGAGCTTGGGGGGCAATTGTTGGTGTCGCCGACTCCTCGTCACGGCGTGGCTGCTGCTGCCTTCCTGCTCCTCGTCTGAGGTTCCTCCTCCTGGCGCCTCTGAGTCGTCCTCTCCCTCTCTCTCTGAGACGTCCTTTCTCTCTTAGTCGTCCTCTCACTGAGTCGTCCTCTCTCTCTCTGATTCGCACTCTCTCTCTCTCTGAGTCGTCCTCACTCTCTCTCTGAGTCGCCCTCTCTCTCTCTCTGAGTCGTCCTCTCTCTCTGAGTCGTCCTCTCTCTCTGAGTCGTCCTCTCTCTCTCTGTCTCTGAGTCGCCCTCTCTCTCTCTCTCTCTGAGTCGGACGCCGTTCGGTGGTGACGGTACAGTTGACGTCACCGATGATGTTGAATCACAGCTCACGCGCAAACACTAGAGGGCAGAGTTCACTTGCAGATGCCACTGCGAACGGAATGCGCTCGAGTGCCTGGTGCGGTGCGTAAACATTGCCACGGGGGAGACAAAGGCGGCCGGTCGTGGTGCTGGCCACCCACCCCCTCGTGTGCCGTACCAGCCTTCATTGGTGCTCGCGAGCAGCATTTTCCCCAACGGTCTTTGAAGGGCTATACGGGGGGATCTTTGTCTGTATGTATGTGCCTGTGACACACTACAGGGGCATCTCACTCCTCAGTGTGCCGGGAAAGGTCCTGGCAAGGATTATTCAACATCGCCTTGCCAGGCACGCTCAGGAGAGGCTTGCGGAGCCCCAATGCGGTTTCAGGAAAGGGCGGTCCTGCACAGATGCCATATTTTCTGTCCGTCTGCTACAGCAGAGTTGTAGGGAATTCCAACAAGACCTACATCTCTGCTTTATTGACCTGGTCAAGGCCTATGATACCATCAGTAGGCCTGGGCTCTGGGTTGTTCTTCGTGCTTTTGGAGTACCTGACCCTCTGCTCACGATCATTAAGGACCTTCATGATGGTTAGCGGGCCCGGGTAAAACTACGTGGCCGGAAGTCAGAGCCATTCCCTGTACACCTTGGGGTGCGACAGGGATGTCCTCTGGCTCCCACATTATTTAACATCTATTTTGACCACGTAGTTCGTGAAGCCTTCAATAGCTGTACCGGGGGAATCTCCATATGGTACAGATATAATGGGAGGCGGATCGATGCCCGGGTGCGGTCAAGGGATGGCTCCCTACTGCTCAACCACGTTATGTATGCTGATGATTTGGTAATAGCTGCTCATTCAGAGGAAGAGTTGGAGACGCTGCTGCTGAGACTGGAGCGTGCCACTAAGAGGTGGGGCCTTACCATCAGCCCCATCAAAACTAAGCACCTGCCTGGGTATTTTGTACCATCGGACACTCCACCCCCACAACTCCCAATCGGTGATGGGGCAGTTGTGGAGAGAGTGGGGAGTTTCCCATACCTGGGCAGTGTGCTTATGACTGGCTCCAGTTTAACAGCAGAGGTCTCACTCCGAATCAGTCGAGCGGCAATATCTTTTCATCGGTTGCGTAACGCTGTGTGGAAGCTACCTGGTCTGTCGCTCCGCACTAAGCTTCAGGTCTTCTCGGCCACGGTCATTCCCTCCCTTCTCTATGCTTGCGAAACGTGGACCCCCCTAATAGAACATCTTCGCCGGTTAGAAACATTTAGGCTGGCCTGCCTACGATCCATCCTGGGTTTAACCAGCCTGGATTGCGTGAGGAGCTCACAAATCCTTGAAAGATCTGGGCAAGGTCCCATCGGTGAGCTGCTACGGCGGGGAAGGCTGCGATGGCTGGGTCATGTAGCCCGCATGCCCATCCACCGCATGCCAAAACAGCTTTTTTTCGGCCGGATTGAGGGGGCTAAGCGGGCGCGGCACGGGCTAGAGAAGAGATGGAGTAATGTGGTACAGGAGGACGTGGAGCTGAGTGGACTTGCCGATGACTGGTACCAGCGGTGTCAAGATCGGCCTCTGTGGAGTAGGCTCGTGAAGGACGCTACTGGGCAGTTGGAGGTGGTCGCCCTCCAGCAACAACGGAGGGCGGAGGAGCGACGCTCAGAACAACGAGCGGAGCGCCGGGTGGCTAAAGCACAGCAGGTTGGCACAGTAGGGGGCACAGGTGGTGCATCAGCCAGTCGTCTCAGTCAGTCGACCCGTGGCACCTGGGTCTGCCCCGTGACCTCCTGCCAGCGGGCGTTCGACATTTCACGTGGCCTCAGGGTGCACATA